ATCTCTTGTATTTAATCCATATTCCGTGGCAGGCTTAGAATGAAAATGAACTTCATGACTCCAGAGATGGAGTATGTACTGTGGGGGAGGTTTCTCTTTTAAGGTTCACAGAAATTGAAAGCACCATATTGAAAGCACCATTGAAAGAGGAGGGATGGAGGTAAGGGGAAGTTGGGGCTTGACAGAAAATAAAATACCACATTGATCTGCTTTTCTTTTCTTTTTCTTTTTCTTTTCTTTTTTTTTTTTTTTTTTTTTTAGTTGAGACAGAGTCTCATTCTGTCGCCCAGGCTAGAGTACAGTGGTGCGATCTTGGCTCACTGCAACCTCTATCTCCTCGCTTCAAGCGATTCTCCTGCCTCAGTCTCCTGAGTAGCTGGGATTACAGGCACGTATATGCATGATGCTGGCTAATATATATATATATATATTTTGGTATTTTTAGTAGAGATGAGGTTTGCCATTTTGGCCAGGCTGATCTCAAACTCCTGACCTCAACTGATCCACTTGCCTTGACCTCCCAAAGTGTGGGGATTACAGGTGTGATCCACTGTGCCGAGCCCTGCTTTTCAAATTAAGAAGAGAAAGCATTTAGTTCTAGATAATATTCGGGGCGAGCTTTCTGAAGGTTATTAGGAGAAACAGAGTTGGGAGTTGTTTAGTTTCTGCCATGGGTGTAAATGAGTTGTCTCTTAAACTGACTTCGTACAGTGGAAAAATAAAATTAGAGGCAGGCCTGGCTGAGGGACCAGGGCTTCTGTGCCCTTTAATGTATTTGAGCCCTTTGGACTAAGAAAATGGACTTCAACTTCTCCGTCCTCTGCTTCACAATTTGTTTCTATCTAGCCCTTCTGCCAAAGAGAGTAGTGTGTCCTTCTGCCTTTTTGCTGTATGTTCTCTAAAGGCTCCTGAAAGCTTTTTCTAGTATTTCTCCTTTTCATCTCTTCAGATTCCTTTTACCCACTGGTTCCTTCACTGGCCTGCTGTGGGCTCTCTTCTCCACCCACCCCCTCTCTGCCTTGTGTTCCCCTCAGCTTCCTGTGTGCCGTCTCTCTCTCTCTCCCTTCACACCGGATGCCTTCAGTCGCCTGCAGCCACTGCTGGCACTTTCTCAGCAGCCTTCTCTCCTTTCCTCTCTGGATCCTGGCTTCCTCCTTGACTCTGTTGAGACTTTTTGCCAGGCTCACCAATGTTTCATTCAGCTAACAGTTCCTCAGCACCTGCTGTCTGCCAAGCAGCGTCCTGGGTGCTCCAAGTCACCTGGGTCCTCCTCTCCTTCTGGAGTTCTTTCTGTCCCCCTCAGGAGTGTGGTGCGTGTTCTCCTTCCTCAGCATTTCCACAGTCCTCCTGGGCCTGCCCTCCTGCTTGGCGTATTAGGAAAGCTCCCATTAGGGCTCTGCTCTCAGACCCCTGACCTCATTCATCTCCCACAGATCCTAGGATCCTCTCTCCTAAGTGTAGACCTGAGCCAGTCTTACATGCTCAGGACTTCCCTGTTCCTGCAGACCTCAGGGCTCTTGATAACCTAGCCGTCACCCCTCTTGCAGTATCCTTCTCACTCCTCCCACTGAGGGCCCACCCACAGCACGCCACACCTTGCTCATCTGAGTTTGCTCTTGTTCCCATTGGCCCCATCACCACAGTAGCTGTGAACTGTTGTTAACAATGGGTATGGTGCTGCCATTTTCTAGATTCAGCTCAGTAAATATTTACTGAATGCTTAAGTAGCCCTGGTGAAATGCCTTATACATGGTAGGCACACAGACATTTGTTTGCCCAGTGGTTGGATGTGAGAGCCTGCTGCGCCCTCCTGTTTGCCAGCATGGTGCTGAGGTGGGGCCCTGGCGTTTATACTGTGGCCAGATGCAGTGGCTTACACTTGTAATCCCAGCACTCTGGGGGGCCGAGGCAGGAGGATATCTTGAGCCTAGGAGTTCAAAACCAGCCTGAGCAAGACAGTGAGACCCCATCTCTACAAAAAATAGCTGGGCATGGTTGCCTGTGCCTGTAGTCCCAGCTACTCAAGAGGCTGAGACTGGAGGATTGAGCATGGGAGGTCAAGGCTTCAGTGAGTTGTAATCATGCCACTGCTCCAGACTGAGGGACACAGCGAGACCGTGTTTCAAAAAATGAAATAAAAAGCCCATAGGTGATTCCAAACTATTGTATCCTGATAGTTCTCTTCTGGGCCTTACCCCGATGTCTGCAGTTTCAAGGACATAATGGTAGATTTTATTATTGACCGAAACTAACCTAGAATCCTTTTTCACATAGATCTTCAAAACAGGACTCTTTTGTATATTGTTTAGAGAGATTCTTGGCCATAGCCTCCCTCAATATATCTCGCTTTGTTCATAGACTTGCAAGGGATTTTTATTTCACAGATTATGCACAGCTTTGTTCTCTTTTGATTGCTAATACAGATTTGTCATGAAAACAGCCTGGTCAGATGTCATGTCAGCACTAAGCCTAAATGGACAATTCAGAAAAAAGAAAATGAGCTTTGTAACCATTGATTTGGTTAAACTGTTTGAGGAGTCTGTAAGAAATCAGGATCGTAAGAGTGGGATTCCTGTTTGATGGTCCTTCTCAGTCCCAAAGTCTTTAGCCTTGTTTCTCTTTTCGTAAAAGAATTTGCTTTCTTATCAAGAACAGATGTGACAATGTACACACTTCTCTATTAAGATGGCAATTTCCATTTTCAAAACTGTGCACATCAAGTAGTGGCTTCTGCCCTCAAGCAATCTGATATTAAAAAGCTTCAACTGGGGCTGGGCGTGGTGGCTCATGCCCGTTATCCCAGCACTTTGGGAGGCCAAGGCCGGCAGATCACAAGGTCAAGAGATCGAGAGCATCCTGGCCAACATGGTGAAACCCTGCCTCTATTAAAAATAAAAAAAATTTCTGGGCGTGTTGGCGTGCGCCTATAGTCCCATGTACTGGGGAGGTTGAGGCAGGAGAATTGCTTGAACCCAGGAGGCAGAGGTTGCAGTGAGCCAAGATCACACCACTGCACTCGAGACTCGAGACTTTTTTTTTTTCTTCTTTTTTTTTTTTTTTGAGACAGAGTCTCGCTCCATCACCAGGTGCCAGGCTGGAGTGCAGTGGCACCACCTCGGCTCACTGCAACCTCCGCCTCCTGGGTTCAAGCAATTCTGCCTCAGCGTCCCAAGTAGCTGGGACTACAGGCACGTGCCACCACACCCAGCTAATTTTATTTTATTTTATTTTATTTTTGTATTTTTATTAGAGACGGGGTTTCACCATGTTGGCCAGGATCGTCTTGATCTCGACCTCGTCATCCGCCCGCCTCGGCCTCCCAAAGTGCTGGGATTACAGGCGTGAGCCACCATGACCAGAGACTCTGTTTTTGTTTTTTTTGTTAAAAAAAAAAAAGCTGCAACTAAGTGAGGGAAATAAAATTTTTTGCTGTTTCAAGTTTTTTATTTTAGGAGACAAAAATGTTTTACTTTTATATGTATATTAAGGCACTGATAGAGACTTAAATTTTACTTTTAGACCTTTTGGATTAAAAGTGAATAATGATCTTTCCTTTATCCTGTAAAGCAGATGACTTTGGTGGCTGACAGTGTTAAGATCAACTACAGTAACTTAAAAAATTTCTTTTGACCTTGTCTCATAGAAATGTTTTATTTTGTAACCTAGTACATACCAAATATATTCGTGAATAATTGAAAGAAAGCTTCACAGAACAATATCCTTATGTTGCACTCTGTTTTCCTTTTCTTTTTTTGCTGGTTGTAACCCACCAATTTTCTCTCAATTTGAAAAATCCTGGTCCATCTGTAGGTTGTGTGACACTCCCTAAGTCTCCCCAGTAGTGAGAAAACTGGTCTGAATTGGCAGAAAATAGAAACCAAAGCATCAATAGTTTAAAACTATCGTTGGCCTGCTCAGTACAAGTGAATACAACTGAAGCAAGCTTTACAAGTTCTGAAGTAGTTAAGGTGAGACAGTCTTCTCAGAATCATATTGGCAGTGTCAGTACTTTTCAGTCTCCGTCTTGAAGTTAAATGTAATTGAAGACCTTACTTGGTTTCGCAGTAGTTTTTTTTTTTTTTTTGAGACAGAATCTCACTTTGTCGCCCAGGCTGGAGTGCAGTGGCGCAGTCTCAGTGCGACGTCCGCCTCCCAGGTTCCAGCTGTTCTCCTGCCTGAGCCTCCTTGTAGCTGGGACTACAGGCATGTGCCACCATGCTGGTTAATTTTTGTATTTTAGTAGAGACAGGATTTTGCCATGTTGGCCAGGCTGGTCTCGAACTCCTGGCCTCAAGTGATCTGCCCACCTCAGCCTCCTAAAGTGCTATGATTACAGGCGTGAGCCATCGCAACTGGCCCATAGTAGCATTCTTTAGTTCACTTACTCATGATCAGTTTTTCTTCAAAAGAAATGTTTTTTTGGTAGACACTTTAGAAAATAAATTTAAAAATAAAAGATCCAAATCCTAAATATTTTGTCATATATATCTGTCCAGATTGTTTTTGGTTTATGTAAATATATGTATGTATACATTTAAGAGAAACACGTTAAGAATCAACTGAGGTACTGTATACACTGTTTAGTATGAACTGAAATGATGTAAAAAATGATGCTGAAGACTTCTGTGTTAGTAAATGTACATCCCTATGATCATCGCTAGAGGCTGAATAGAACTTCATCATATGAGTATATAATGGATATAATATAATTTAACCAATTCTCTATGGGGCCTTTAGGTTGTTTCCAATTTTTAGCTATTCTAAACAAGGCTACATGTCTCTAAGTTGACTTACGAGATTTTTAAAATGAACTGCAAATTGCAAATCTATCTAACCCTTAAAAAAAAGTTACGTACAGAAATCTTCCCTAATGTGTACTGAGCTTTTGCCTTTTCTCAGAGTAGCACCGCCCTGGTGCTGTTATAGTATGAAATAGATATAATTTGAGATGAAGACTTGACTTACTGGAAACTGATTGTAGTTCTTGCCTTGATTTTCAGACAGTACCTGTAATGAGAAACAGTAAAGAAAACAGACTAAGAGGAAACAAAGCGTTCTACGCGGTGGGTTTCTTACTTAGTGTAGTGACCTATTTGTTAAATATTCATGACTCACAAGGTGCAAGTGGCCATTCTAGTTGAACGAGGTTCGGAGAGGCCTTTGTAGAATACAATTTTTGTTTTTGACTTTGAATTCTTAAGCCTTTAAGTAAATACAGTTGCATCTGCTGCAAATCCTGCTGTCTGACTTCATTAGCCCAGCCCATTATCATCCTTTCATGAGGCTTTTATTTTTTTTAATTTTTATTCTAGAAAGAGGGGTTGTCTCCTGCTACGTGTAGCCAATGGGGTATGTGACCATAGCGCCATGACAAGCCTTGGGCTCAGTTTCGTTAATGATGGTTGCCTTGTGAAGATTGCTGTTTCTTTGTTTCGGTTAAGTTTTCTATAGGCATACTGTTGGATGTAACTTTAGGTGAAAAAGGGATAGAACTAGGACTTTAAAAATCACTTTAAAATATATATAAACATTGTATTTATTTTTTATTTAATTTATATATTTTTATAATAAAAATACATAATAATTATGTTGCAAAACAGTTAAAATGTAGAAAAAACAAGCAGCTGTAATCTTTCCATTCTAGTATAACTACTGTGATCTCATTTTTTTCCTTCCAGTGTTCTTTTTTTTTTTTGAGACAGTCTCATTCTGATTCCTTAGGCTGGAGGTGCAGCGGTGCAATCTTGGGTTACTGCCACCTCGACCTCCTGGGCTCAGGTGATTTTCCCCCTCAGCCTCCTGAGTAGCTGGGACTATAGACACACCCCACCATGCCTGGTTAATTTTTTTGTATTTTTAATAGGGACAGGGGATTTGCCATGTTGGCCAGGCTGTTCTCAAACTCCTGGACTCAAGCAATCCACCCGCCTCAGCCTCCCAAGGTGCTGGGAATCAGGTGTGCGCCACTGCACTGGGCCTCCAGTCTTTCTTTCTTATGTGTAGACTTTACCTAGTTGTAAACAGACATTTCAGAACTAATGTTTGCCTAAGGGAACATAAATTTAGATGTATTACATGGCTAAGTTAAAAAAAATTGTATACTAGATATTAATACTAGAATTCTTATATGCTGAATACAATATTGTATCGAGTTGTAAATACAGAAAGGTACCACCAATTGAGTTATCAGGGTTGTCTTTTTTTTTTTTTTTTTGAGACGGAGTTTCACTCTTGTTACCCAGGCTGGAGTGCAATGGCATGATCTCGGCTCACCGCAACCTCCGCCTCCTGGGTTCAAGCAATTCTCCTGCCTCAGCCTCCTGAGTAGCTGGGATTACAGGCACGTGCCACCATGCCCAGCTAATGTTTTTGTATTTTTAGTAGAGATGGGGTTTCACCATGTTGACCAGGATGGTCTCGATCTCTCGACCTCGTGATCCACCTGCCTCGGCCTCCCAAAGTGCTGGGATTACAGGCTTGAGCCACCGCGCCCGGCAGGGTTGTCATTTATTAGAAATGCAGTAGTGAAGTTGTAAAATAAGGCTGGGCACAGTGGCTCAAGCCTGTAATCCCAGCATTTTCGGAGGCCAAGGCAGGAGGATTGCTTGAGCTAAGGAGTTGGAGACCAGCCTGAGCACATAATGAGATCTTGTCTCTGCTAAAAAAAAAAAAAAAAAAAAAAAAAAAAGAAAAAAAAAATTAACTGGGCATGGTGGCGTACGCATGTAGTACAAGCTACTTAGGAGGCTGAGGTGGAATGATTGTGTGAGCCCAGGATATTGAGTCTGCAGGACAGTGAGACCTTGTCTCAAAAAAAAAAAAAAATTTGTAAAATACCGAAATCCTGAAATGGGTCCTTCGTGTTACTCCCCCTCGAGAGTCTCAGTGGTGGAAGGTAGGAATTCCTAAAAGTGACTTATTTTTTTTTTAACATGAACAATTGTACTGCAGAATGAAAGTGACTCTTATCAGGGATCTCCAAGTAGGCTCTCTAAGATGACTAAAACACCAAGTCAGGTTACAGTAAAGAAGTTAGGCACGCTCACATGCACACATGTACGTATGAACTGCAATAATGCCAGCGTAAGATAACTTGACCGGAAGTCTATTAGTCCTTTCAGGGTCTGTGTCCTGCAGTTACAGAATACCATTTCGTGTCCGTGATGATCACCAAATTGGCATAGGCTTTTAAGGTTTATCTTCACTTGTGCCCAGAAGCCATCTTATTTGTTATGAGGACACCTTGTTTATACCCTGTCCCAATGACTGATAACATTCCCTTGGAGGCCGAGAACCTCCTTCTTTGGTTGGAAATTATTGAAATGAATGGGAAAAGCAGGTAGAGAAGAGGAGTAAAATAATTAGGATATAGTTGAAGGGATTTGGAGTTAGACGGCCTGTGCTTGAACCTGGACCCATCCTCCTAGGGCTGTGTATTAGGGACAGTAAATCCTGCTCAACCTGACAGGGCAGCTGTGAGGAGAGGATGAAACGTCTTAGGAGAGCATACTTGTAAATGCCAAAGCCCAGTATCCGTCTTCATCCTCAAGCTGAATTGGAAAGGTACACTTTATAATAGAGTGCTGTACATGAAACCACGGTAAACCTCTTAAACAAAACAGCCTGCCTGTGACCTTGTTTCTTTTTCTCCTTCCAGTCTTCAGGCAGTGACAGTGGTGGGAGCAGCAGCAGCAGCATCAACAGCCCGGACAGGGCCAGCGGGCCGGAAGGCAGCGTAGGCCAGACCATCGCTGGATCCAGCCCTGACACCCCTCAGCCTGTGTGTGAGCAGTCCGCGCTGTGCCAAGGCCCCTACTTCCACATCAACCAGACCCTGAGGGAGGCCCACTTCCACAGCCTACAGCACCGCGGGCGGCCTCTGACATGATGCGCCGGCAGTTTCTTGCCTTCTGTGAAGGGACAGCGCTGTGCAGATTTGATATTTCAAGTTACAACTTGTTTTAAAGGAAAAATTGCACACGAAAAATGCCTGTTGGCTTTTCAGTCTATATTTGAAATAACAGGTTAACAGGCAATTGTTTACTTGTGGTTTTGCTGCACTATTGCAATTTCAAAGGGGCTTTGAAGCAATTTTTTATAGGAATCTTTTGAGGGAGGGTATAAAATCCATGTCAAGGTAGTGGTATGAGGAAAACTCATTCTGTGTGTTGAATCCATAGTATGTCCCATTCAGACTGATTTCCAAATCTGTCAATTAGAAACTACTTTATGTAAAGGGCCTTTTAAAAATGCGGGACCTTCCATTTTTTTAATTCAATAAACTAGTAAAGAGTATCTAGTTTCCATGAAAAAACAAGTTTTTTTCCAAAATACAGGAAGCTTGATTCAGTCTTGCACTGAACTTAACTGCCATACTACCTCTCAGTATGTAGATGCTCTGTTGAAAGTGCTGTCTCCTGTGCAACAGGAGAAAAATCAGATCCAATTCAGACTGTGTCAGTGAAGCACCCTCCCTAATAGTCTCTACTCTTTATTATATATTTGTATTTCCAGGGAGAATGTCTTTTAGCTTCTTGTATACCCAGATAATTTCCGTCACTATTCCTCCAGAGTCTGTACCTCAGACTTTAGTAGGAAACACAGCAGTTCTCCAAGTGAAGAAATATGTAATGACTTTTTGTCCTACAAATTTGTTCAGTCAGCAGCTTACATGACCTTGCTGATAGTTCTACCTTGTAGTATCAATAATTAAGGTGTTGTTTAACGCTGGTAAAATGTAAGCTACCTGAACTGATGTCTAAAGCAAGAAGTGTGAAATGATTGGACAAGGATTAACCTGATGCTTAAAGTAACACCTAACAGTAATTAGGGGGCCACATTCCATCCATGCAACTGGAAAGACTGGTGTGGCTTAGAATCAAATGAGCAGAGGCACCTTTAGAAGAAATGAAGCAGTAGTATTTATTTAGGGAGAGACAGATGTGTTGCCGTGTTACTTAGTCATACTAGAGAGCCAGCCAAGTTTGAATAATGAAGGTGCAGACGAGCTGTCTTCTTCACTGATGAGCTGTCTGAACAAGGAGCCAGGAAGTGTCGGGTCACCAGCTGTGGAGCATGCCGGGGAGACGACCTGCCATTGGATGTAGAGAAAAGTGCCTTAGAGTTGACCTGAGCCCTCCTGCCCACTCGCCCTCTGCGCAGCGCCACTCGGAGTCCACACGGCACACACAAGCAGAGCTGAGAAGCACGATGGCTCCAGTCAGAGGACTTTGCTGTCTGTCAGGATTTGAAGAGGACACAGGGAACAGCATGAGCTTCTGTGACAGAACTAGAATTTGGAAATGAGGACTATCCTGGGAAAAGGGTGGACACAGACACCCCTTTCCACGGCCTGTTTCCCAAACGTTGGCAGAACTGAAAGCCTGTCACTGCGGTGGAAACAGTGTTCTGGAGGAGGCTGCAGCACAGACCATGCTTAGGGACTGGATGGTTTTTGCAGGAGCTTTTTTTTTTTTTTAAACTACCATCTCCCAACTTTTAAAGCCAGATACTTGACAAGGATTTCAGATCTTGATGGGTTCGGTAGTAGGGAATATGGAAAGGACACACTGCTGATACTGCGTCTGACAATAAAGCACACAACTCAATGCTGTAAGGAGACAAGCTGTTTGAGCTTTCAGACACACGTGCACACAGCACAATCCAGAAATACCCAGGAGGACTTCTGCGGGCTTAACAGATGGCATCCTACTGAAACGAAACATGTATTAACAAGAAAATGTAAAACTTTTGGGGAAACAAATTTTCTGTTATTTCCCACCCAACTAAAAGGGAAGATAAAACCATCACCACCAGAACAAAACAATTTTTTTCCAAACAAGTACAATCATAGTGCTGGGTTGGCAGTTAACTCTTTTTACCCTACTAAATTCAAGAGCTAATCTCCACCTTGTCCTGTGTATTTTCTACATTTTCTACTAAGAGGCTATTTGGTAGTGTCAGTGGGCATCTTTTACACCTATTAGCTCAAGCTAGTAAAACCTTGTACTTCTCTATTGCGCCGCCATTAAAAGCAGCATTAGTGTATTTTGTCATTCAGTTCTTTATGAGTTATTTAAAAGGGAGCTGATCCGGTGGCTCGTTGGGAGGTGGGGACCCTATCAGCGGATGAGCCTCTTGCTCTTAGCACCAACCTGGGCTTTTGTTTCGATGTTTCTGGTTGATTTAGGCTTTCGAGTGCTTGTCATGCTCAGTGGGAGAAGTCCAAACCTCCAAAACAAGAAGAAAGAATTGAATAGCACAAACAGGCAGCTCCGGGGCCCAGCAGCAGCCTCTTAGCAGCCTTTACCTGATCTGACTGGAGGCCAGTGGCAGTATGTTATGGGGTTCTTGGGAGTTGAATGTATTGCTCCGGGGTGTGAGCTGATTCTCTGTACCAGTCACCAATCCAAACAGAACCTGGCAGACGAGAAGTGGAGCTCAAGAAAATGCAGAGGTTTCATCGTACAGGTAAGAGAAAGGCACTTCTGTTAGTCACCCATCACTACTGTTATTTCTAACCATTTTGGGGTATGATGTTAATGCTTCACAATTACTTTTTATCACTGCCCACAGGTCAGAATCTGAGAGTCAGGGAGTTTTTATTCTTCTTTCTAACTGGATAACACTTTAATAATCCTTATTTACAACTAAAGGGGTCAAATCTTGGTTGCTTTGGTGTGTGTGATTTTAGCTAATCCTCTTTCAGCCCTTATAACTACACTCGGCTATTTGTGTCTTATTCCCCTCCTAACGCTGCATCCTGGAGTATTAAGTGCTGGAGGAGGTTAATTTTGTCATTTGAGCCCGTGGTACTTGGTTCACACTGAGCATGGTTTTGACTTGACTCACAGAAGTTCGCTGCACCAAGCGATGAAGGTTGCTGTTGAGGTGCGGCGTGAAAACATCCAAGTCAAATGGATCAATGAGGGCTTCCAGGTGGTCCGTCACTTTCTCAATTCTGAAAAAAGGATTAGGATCATTATTGTCCACATTTTTTAGGATCAAAAACAGTCTTATGATATCCTAATGCTATAGAAATCCTGAAATTTGATTTTATTCTGCTTGGTTGCTGGTTTAGTACACTTGTCACTGATGATTGTGTTTAAGTCACCCTCAAGAGTTTCAACCTGACAGATGTCTAAGTGAAGTCCACTCCTTCCCCATGTTCTGTCTATAAAAAGGGCACTAAGGGCTCAAATGATACTCAGCAGCTGCTAGGCTGACTCAGAAGAGGGAGAAATGAGAATCCACCTAATTCACTTGGCCATGGCATTTATCCAGCAAGCGACAAGTTAAATTTGTTGGTAATATGAGCACTTACTGTTCAAAACAAACAATGAATGTGCAGTAAGAGGCTGACTCTGGTGGCTTCCCAGCAAAGGGACTGTTTGCTTTTGGAAGAGATTGCCTTGACATAGCTCAGTAGAGGATACGACACCTGGAGTCTGGCTTGCTCCGGCCACTCTTCACCTCTTCAGTCTTGGCTGTCAGAACAGTGTTGAGGTAACGCAGATCATAAAGCAGCTGCAGCGCCCGGTTCTGGGTGACTGGAAATGTACCGTCTTTCTGCAGATGAATTCCCAGTCCACACCCATGAAGAGAGAGGACTTGTTACGTGAGTGTAATAAATAGTTTCATGTTTTGGTTGAGTTTCAGCTTGCTATTTCAGAAGCAGATGGTTTTAATACTCATATGGCCAGTTTAATCTCACAACAAAGCAAGTTATGTTAGAAACTTGGTCTTAAAATTAAAAACCTAACAGCAGGGAAGAGACCTAGCCCTTAAAAAGGTCTCAGATGCTGTAAATTGTTGTTCTAACAGAAAACAAAAAAAGGCTCCTTGCATGAAGTATTTTGAGGAAGCTCATTAGAGGAGACTTACTGAATTCTTTCCAAAATCAGAATTTGTTTGTGGTGGTGGTTTTTTTTTTTTTTTTTTTTTTTGAGATGGAGTCTCGCTCAGTCACCCAGGCTGAAGTGCAGTGGCACAATCTCGGCTCACTGCAACCTCCGACTCCCAGGTTCAAGCAGTTCTGCCTCAATGCTACCGCCTCAAGTAGCTGGGACTACAGATGTGCACTGCCACGCCCAGCTAATTTTTGTATTTTTAGTAGAGATAGGGTTTCACCATATTGGTCAGGCTGGTCTCAAACTCCTGACCTCATGCTCCACCCGCCTCGGCCTCCCAAAGTGCTGGGATTACAGGCGTGACCTACCGCCCTGACCGACCATGTTCCTTTTTCAAAATGTTACTGGCCAGGCGCAGTATCTCTTGCCTGTAGTTCCAGCACCTTGGGAGGCCAAAATGAGCAGACTGCTTGAACCCAGGAATTTGAGAGCAGCCTGGGCAAAATGGCAAAACCGGTCTCTACAAAAAAATACAAAATTAGGTATGCTGGCACATGCCTTGTAGTCCCAGCTACTTGAGAGGCTGAGGTGGGAGAATCTCCTGAGCCTGGGAGGCTGAGGTTGCAGTGAGCCAAGACGGCACCCTTGCACTCTAGTCTGGATGACAGAGTTGAGACTCTCAAAAAAAAAAAAAAAGTGACTAATGAAATGGGATTACACACCAAGGGCAGAACTGCTTCCTAGACGGTGAGAGTGGTGTGAAGGGTTGGAGACAAGAACTCCCCACAAGCGAGCACCTGTGTGTGTCACATGCTGTGTGGCAGGCAACCGTTCTAACTCCCCACAGTCAGCCCTGAGGTAGGTGTGCTGTGGCTGGCATAGGGCACTGTCTGCCTTTTACAAGTGAGGACACCCCTGAGCAGCTGATCTACAGGATCTCATTTGGCCCTGAGGAAACCGAGGTGAATGATTTGCCTGGAGCCCCCAGTGAGTGAGTGGCAGCACTAAGGCTGGAAGCCAGGTCTTTTATTTTGAAGCTCTGATCCTTTTGTTTTTTTAAGAGACAGGGTCTTGCTCTGTCGCCCAGGCTGGAGTGCGGTGGTGGGATCATAGTTCACTGCAGCCTTGAACTCCCAGGCTGAAGCCATCCTCCGGCCTCAGCCTCCCAAAGTGCTGGACCACTGGTGTGAGCCACTATGCTGGGTCTTGGTCTTTCCATCTGTGCTGAGCTGCGTTCTCAGGGAAGATCCGCTTGACCCTTGAGAACACGTGTAAGTAAACTCACAGCACTGGGTGCCACTCCTAAGATAGAGCTTTTTTACCACACCAGATGGCCAGGGCTAGTGATCCTTAACAGTTTGAGTTCTTGATGTGAATTGCTCAAAGCCAAGACAAAGCTAAGGTTGGTTTTTTTTTTTTGGCTTTTTTTTTTTTTTTTTTTTTCTAATTTGTGAGTTTTTTTTTTTTTTGAGACAGAGTTTCATTCTTGTTACTCAGGCTGGAGTGCAATGGTGCGATCTCGGCTCACTACAACCTCCGCCTCCTGGGTTCAAGCAATTCTCCTGCCTCAGCCTCCCGAGTAGCTGGTACTACAGGCGCGTGCCACCATGCCCAGCTAATTTTTTGTATTTTTAGTAGAGACGGGGTTTCACCATGTTGACCAGGATGGTCTCCATCTCTTCACCTCATGATCCACCCACCTCAGCCTCCCAAAGTGCTGGGATTATAGGCATGAGCCATCATGCCCGGCCTAAATTTGTGTTTTTAATGGGCAAACATTCAGACACCTACCTTAACCTGTTTTTCTTCGGCAAGTTTCTCATAGGTAGCTACTACTTGGGCCATACAGCTTTTCAGCATCTCCTGTACTGTCACCTTTGGCAAGGCATGGCCTCCAACCCGATTCATTTCCTGGCATAAACTAAACAGGAAGGACTGTACATACCAGGACGGCTAAAAGAACAAAGAAATGTCATGTTGCCAACTTGCACCAATTAAATGACACACAGTGAAAGTAAATCCACTTAATCTTACAGGGCCTATGTGCCAGGACTTCAACCTCTCTCAGCAAGGCTTCTTACAGGCAGACCGTTCGGCAGGCACGAGGCCCCCAGTGAAGTGCAGTCTGCTGTTACACGGTTTGAGGCTGGCCTGGCAGAGGTGCCTGTGTTTTACGCTGCTTACTTCACTGTAAGTAAGTGGTTCTCCAATTAGCACAGAGCCTGTGCTACAAAAGGAAAGAATCGTTAACCGACTTCTTGAACAGTCTGCCATTTCCTCAGCCCTACATCTACTATGCCCCCATAGTAGAAAGTTACAGATGTGGCCGGGCGCGGTGGCTCAAGCCTGTAATCCCAGCACTTTGGGAGGCCGAGGCGGGTGGATCACGAGGTCGAGAGATCGAGACCATCCTGGTCAACATGGTGAAACCCCGTCTCTACTAAAAATACAAAAAATTAGCTGGGCATGGTGGCGCATGCCTGTAATCCCAGCTACTCAGGAGGCTGAGGCAGGAGAATTGCTTGAACCCAGGAGGCGGAGGTTGCGGTGAGCCGAGATCGCGCCATTGCACTCCAGCCTGGGTAACAAGAGCGAAACTCCGTCTCAAAAAAAAAAAAAAAGAAAGTTACAGATGTTACTTTCAGCTAGTCCTCGGAAGTTGTATGTTGAATGATTTTCCAAAATCTTTTTTCTTTTCCACGGAGCAGTTTATTCCCTTTTTCAGCCCATGGTCCCTGCTGGGTTGGGACCTACTCACCTGTGCAGGGAGTCGGATCTTGGATGTGACGCTGCTGCCAGACTCTGCCTCCTCCTGAATTTCCAGCTCATCCCAGCTGGTGGCTGTGGCCAGGACTGAGCCAGCATCATCTAGAAGTAATGACTGGGTGAATCCATGAATCAAAACCTGGTAATAAAAGGCAAATATCCATATAAGCCATTCAGATCCTCTGTAGTTTCTTGAAAATGATCTGTGTAATCCTGAGAACAGCTTAAGCTGCTGAAGCGCTATGTGCAGTGATGGTGTCACTCCTCTTCTGGCTAAATTATCGATGACATTAGCCATGGGAATTTTGTTACTAACTACCCTATAAATGTCAACTACCACTTCTTTTTTTGAGACAGGGTCTTGCTCTTCTCCCAGTATGATTGCAGTGGTGCAATCACGGCTCACTGCAGCCTCGACCTCCTGGGCTCAGGCAGTGCTCCTGC